GAATACAGCACCTCAGACTGAAGAAGTCTCTCGGACGAGAGACGAAACGTTTCTACATTTTTTTGTTGATTTGCTTTGTTTTGGTTTTTTTTGAATGTCCAGAGGACCAGATTTAACTTTTTTATATTTTTCTACCTGGATTATTGAGCATGCATCAGGCTATAGGCTTAGACTGCTGGAGGACAAACTGACCACATTTCTTTACTATACTACTGTCTTTATTTACTCTGCTCAACCTGTTTTGTATTTGTAATTATTTTTCTATCCTTAACATGTGGGGGGGTTTGTCTTTCAGGTACACCTGGACCTATACCTGGACCTACCACTCTGTGTTCGTCTGTCTCTCCTTCCTGTCCTCTCAAACCAGCCGGTCAAAGCAGATGGCCACTTGTCCTGAGCCTGGTTCTGTTGGAGGTTTCTTCCTTTTAAAAAGGGAGTTTTTCCTTTCCACTGTTGCCACTGTGCTTGCTCAGGATGGGAGACTGTGACACAGTGAAGATTCAACTTGTCTGCTGGATTCCTTAGATACTGTAGAGAACTTTACTAATTGGCTTTTCTATGTGAATGTTCTTGTAAAGTGCCCAGAGACAACTTTGTTGTGAATTGGCGCTATATAAATAAACTGAATTGAATTGAATCATTTGTGCAATAAAATAACTGAACATTGAATAAAGAACTTTCACTCACCTGTTGTGAGACAAACGACTGACTGATCACTTGAGTGGTAAGAGTTCCCACAATGACCTGCAGGTGGGGGTCAAGGGCGTCATCACAGAACTGAAGTGCCACCTGACACACAGAGGTGAGCAGATCGCAGCACAGAGAGAGGCTTCGGTTAGACACCTCGTCACACTGAAGTGGCCTGGAAGAGGAACAGGAAACCGTTGGGGTTTCTAGGTGAGATTTCAAAGTAAAGCTATTATTTCCTGGTGTTCATTCACTGACCTGCTGTTGACGTGGTGAATGAGGGTGTAGATGATGTCTCTGAGGACAAAGGCCCAGGCTCCTCCCAGATCATCCTTCACCTCCTTGAGTAGCAGGCTGACAAACAGATGGTACATGAGGAGGATGCGGTGTCGTTCGTAACTGTTGGTCGTCTCCGCTGCCTTTTCGCACAACGCTAGCAGAATCCTCTGGATTGAAATCTTAAGTCCAGGAACAGAAAACATAATGTGTAACAGAAGCAAAGTATTCAAAAAAGAAAAACAAAGGTTAAGCAGTAGGTAAATGAGACACTGTACCGGGGTTTTTGACAGAATGGCTACCAGTGACTTGTGGTTGGCACTGTGACACCTGCTGAGGTAGTCCAGTGTGGATTTGATGACATGTGAGCTGAAGTATGGTGGATTAGGTACAGGATCCAACTCTCTGCATGATATAAAACACTTAGTTAAATAAAAATAAACAATAAGCTGGTAAAAGAGATTATTTTGTTAACATTACCCAATAAAGCGTTTCAGATCTCCTGTGTCTCCCTGTGCTCTGCCGTCTTCATAAAGAGTCATCAGCAGCTCCACTACAATGTCTGCCAGGTTACTGTGGATCAGGCTGTCAATTTGCTGCAAAACAAAAGTTTTAAACGTCAGCAGAAGTTGTTGTTTTGAATATCATATGCAGTAGTCCATCGCTACTTCGCGGTTCGTTTATTGCGGACTTGCTCTATGGCGGTTTTTCAAAATAAGATTGGACAGGACACACAATTGGCTGATTGATGGATGAGCTGCACGATCGGCATGGGATTTTTATTTAAAATAAATTATTTAAAATTATTTAGCACCTCCTGCACCTTTGTGCAGCCCATACTGCAGGATAAACTTCCTGCTGCAGCTGATCAGCTGTTCTCTGTGCAGAGCGGAGTAGTGGGCGTGGCCAAGAGCTCTTGCAAGTGGCAAAGAGCAGAGGAGGCAGGGAGCTGAAATCATGACATTCTGCGCTCTTTTAGAGCTTTAGAGCTTAGAAACATTGTTTAGAATATTGCAAGAGTGTGGGAAGAGTTTAAAAAGCCTTAATATCTCTCTCTGTATATAAATAATATAATAAATTACTATTTACTACTTGTACTACTAGTCCTACTTTGCATTTTTTTACTTATCGCAGGTATTCAGGGTACGGATCCCCCGCGTTAAATGAGGGACTACTGTAAGAATCTTATTCTGACGGGAAAACCAAAGACTAAATTTAAGTCATTTATATTCAACGTCCCCATCCAGTGTAGTTAGAAAAGCTAGAACACAGCTTTTCAAAATGTTTGGATCTTTAAGAATGCACGTAGAAATTAAAGCTGCCGGGGCGGGAAACATGAAAACGTTGAGTTTTTCAGAATACAATCATGTGTGACTGATACACTACCAACACTCATAATCAAAAAAAATGTTTCACAAAAATCTAACTCTTTTGTTTAAGCAAACAAAAAGTAATTAAGAACATTGGACAAAACCTTATTTCACCTTCTCTTTTCAACCCAAAAATGCTTCTCTGTGTTTGCTGTGCACAACCGGTCGAGGTAATGACCACAAAGTCAAAGAGAAAGAAAAACATTTGGACTGCCCTTTAAGGATGAGTTACAGATATATTTTCCTTCTTCTTCGCCCTTCAAGCTGTCCATGCACTTTACAACTCCATGAAAGAAGAGCTTTAACCCAGAGCGAACAGCCTTTACCTGTTTACCCAAACAGCTGGCGTCCTTCAGGAGGTCATAGACTCTGTGGGCCTTCTCTCTCTGCTGTGCAACTTGTGAATCCTGACCCGGCAAGGCGAAGTATGGCAGGATGTTGACCATGATCTTAGGGAAACAGTCAGCCAGTAACAGCGTCCAGTCCCTCTCAAGGTATCGGCCCATGGACTTCACCTGCTCAAAGTCATCCAGGAAGACCAGGTGGGGTATCAGAACCTGATAGGAAGACCTAAAAGGACGCAGTACAAGAATTTTATGTTTTTTTTTCAAATCCTACAAAAACTTTTTTTATATATAGTTATGAAAAAATAATTTTGCATTTAGAGTAATTCCTAGTAAATCGTTTTCTCACTTATAAAAGTCTTTGATTGTGTCGTGGTCCAGCAGACTGTAGGGGAAAGAGCCGAGAGTGTAGCGGTCGTCAGATTGCCTCTGAGAAAGCCACTCGGCTACCAGGTAGTACAGATGAGAGCTGACAAACGTTTTTACGCTCTTGTAGCCCAACACGTTGGAGACCCTGCACAACATCTGCAATGAACATCAGCACATCGGTGCTAGGTTTAGTGCTCCATTATCAGGAAAGTTGATTTCTCTTCAGGTCAACTATTTGAACTCGACCAAAATAGCAGAGCTCATTAATAACTTCAGTTATACAGTCAGTTTTACTTTTCCTGCCATTTAGAAGTAAAAAAACATTTCCCTCAAAATCTTATTTTGACAATTTATTGGAGACCAGCTACCTTTTTGATGAGTTCTTCCTCGATGTCGTTCTCCTTGTAGGACTGGAAGAGAGCAAACAGGCACTGTTTTTCACAAACCGGGCTGCAGCACAGCACGACAGACAAGCTCTTCAGCAGCGCCGCTTTACGGTTGAACGTCTCGTCCTGTTGATCCTCTACAGAGCTGCTCCTCTGCGTACAGTCATACGAAATGCATGTCAAACAACACGAGGGGAGTTTAAAAGATTAACAAAACATGGCGCTCTTGACGCGTCATGTTTTACCAAGAGCCTCATCCCCTCCTGAGCCTTCAGGTAAATGTTCTCAAAAGCTGCTTGTTGGAGTTTTAGTGGCAACATGTTTCTCTTGTTTGGCTGCTTCGGTCCCGTCTCAAGAAATAACCTGGATACGGAGGAGACAAAAGGGAAAATTAGATTTAAAAATCAGATCTATAATAAAGAAAAAAATACATTTTAAATAAACATTTTTAAATCAATATTTTATTCTTGGTAAAGACATTTAGCAGGAAGCTGAACCTGCCTCTCCACTGATACGGCTACCAGCATGCGAACTTGATGGTGGGCATCGGCTAGGTAAGAAGGAAGAACAGAAGACACGGGGGGGTCGTCCTCTGCTTCAGCCTCTCTGAGACTCAGGATCGCCCAGTTACAGCAAGGGTCAGCCTAGGAGAAGAACAAGAGCAACGGAGAAAAAGAAGAAAATAAAACAAGCAAAGTAAATAAAGCAGGTGTCATTAGAGATTTTATGTTAGATTCTTTAGTCAGGTAAATCTTTTGGTTTTACAAACAACAGACTGAACTAAAAGCAACATGATGAGAGTTCACCTCCAGCAAAGCAACCAAACACTGCACTAAAGCAACTCGCACAGCTGCCACACATTTCCCCGTCTGGTTCAGGATGCTGGAGAAAAAAAAACAAAAACAACAACAAATGTGGTTAAGTTGGAATAAGATGCGTTTGAAAGCTCAGAAAATCACAATGTATGTTTTCGGCAGCAAATATTACAGCAACACATAAATAGTTTTTAAAGTTTTAAATTATTTAATTGTCCAAAAATAAATGTGTTATACACTTAATTTTGAAAAAGATCAAATATAGATCAAAGATAGAGCAAATAATTCAAGAGCAATGGCTCTCAGAGAACTAATAGAAGCGATAACAAATGCTGTTGATCTAAAACAGTGTTGTGTTAATGTTTTTGTTGATTTAAAAAAGGCCTTCGACACTATTGACCACACCATTCTCCTGGAAAAACTGAATAAATATGGCATTAGAGGATTAGCACTACAGTGGGTATCCAGTTATTTGAATAATAGAAGACAGTATGTACAGGTAAACAATGTAATATCTGAATTTTGTGTGAATGAAAGTGGAGTTCCTCAGGGCTCTGTGTTGGGACCAAAGTTGTTTATTTTGTATGTGAATGATCTGATTGATGTGTCAGGGCTTTTCAAGTGTGTTTTATTTGCAGATGATACCACTTTTTTTTTTTTGTTCGGATGAAGATGTTGAATGGATGTTAGAGATGATACAGGCAGAATTTGTAAAAATACAAACTTGGTTCCAACTTAATAAGTTATCATTAAATTTGGAAAAAACAAACTACATAATGTTTAGTAATATAAATAAAATGATCAAAGCCCCATTTGAAATTGACAATATTGAAATTCATAGAGATAATTAAATTAAATTAAATTTTTGGGTGTGGTTATTGATGAGAAGCTGTCATGGAAACCTCATGTAAATTACTTAAGAATAAAAATAACAAAAATCAGTTGCATTAATGTTAAAAGTAAAAGAGTTTTTGAATGACAAAGCTTTGTATATAGTGTATAATGTAATGATTGTTCCATATTTAATATATTGTATTGAAGTTTGGGGAAAAACATGCAAAACAATTACAGATCCTATTTTTATTTTACAAAAAAGAACTATAAGAATTACTAGTAGGAAGTACTTTTGTCACCCAACAAATATATTATTTCATCAGTTGAAATTATTAAAATTTTATGATTTGATTGAATATAGTATTTTGCAAGTCATGTATAAAGCTCATAAAAAAACATTACCCCCAAATATTCAATTAAATTTTGCTAAAAATAGAGTCATTATAACCTTAAGGGAATGGAAATGTTTGTAAAACCTCCATTTAGAACTGGTCTGAAGGAACTGCGTTGTAGTTCAGGGAACAGATTGTGGAAGTGCCTTGAGATCAACGTAACAATTAATACAACCATTTATATGTTTAAAAAGATGATTAAGTTAAAATTGTTAGGAAAGTATGATACCAAGTGAAGGATGCCTGATGTTTTTTGTTTTCAATTTGGAGATTGTTCAAGTCTAAGTTGTTGTTTGTTTAAAGTTATTTTTTTAAATAAGGGGCAGATATAATAAGATTTTTTTTTTCCTTCTTTCTGCACCCTTTTCATTCAGTGTTTTTTTTTTTCTTTTTGATGCATTTGTTTGTTTATTTTGTTTCTTTTAAATGAATAAATTTATTAATTTAAATATATATATATATATATATATATATATATATATGTTTGTGGTTGTAAAGAAAATGTTTCAGACCAGAAGCCAGACACGACTTGAAGCAGAGAGCCCTGGACATGTCTCATCTCTTCCTGCTTGTGGTCAGTCTTCCCCAGACTCTTTATGGAAGGTAACAAACTGAGCAGGACAGCAGAACAGATGTCCTGGTCCTGACGATACAAAGAACACAAGTCCCTGCAAAACAAAAGAACAATGTTACGTCGGGTTATCAGAAACATAAACATTGCTTCCAACTGGTTGGACAACACTACTATGGACATGTGTGGTAGAAACGTTTTCTTACGCCAGAGGACGAAGCAGGGCATCAAATTCCTCTGGAGACAGCGAGTCTTCAACAGGAAGCTTTTTCAGCAGGACCAAATACTGCAAGACAGCCTGACGTTTAGGTCCTGCAGCTAAAGGCTCGCCATCACCTGTGATCTTTACCCTCCACGCTGGCTGCTACTCACCATGTTGAGGTGCAGGGCTTTGCTGAAGTCTATCTGCTTCAGTAAAAGCAACAACCTGCGCCGCACGTCTTGTGGCTTAAAAAGCAGACCATGGACGGGCTGAACAGAACCACACTCGCATAAGAACTCCAACACTGCAATGAGAGCCAAGTCCTGCTGGGCCAAGTAATCCTCCGCTAGCAGGCTTTTTGCACCTGGCAGAGCACAGAACGAGGGTCTGACTCTCAGTCATGGATGGATTTAACAGAAAAAAATCAAAAACACAGGTATGTCTTTGTTCATTTTACCTGGTCCACAGGAGGTGTCCGTGTTGTCTCCCTTCTGTCTGTGGGTGCCATTGGTGCTGCTGCAGGACTCCTCACCATCTGACAGGTCCAGGTCAGTCCCGGTGTGTTGGGTTCTGGAAGTTTCCATGTCGTCATCGTCATGCTCATCATCGTCAACAGCACTGACTCTCCGTGACACGTTTCTTAACTGAATGAAGCAAGAAGAAAAGTTCAAAGTTCAAATGGAAGGCTCCAAGTTCCAGGAAAATAAATAAATAAAAATTAATATATATATGTGTGTGTGTGTGTGTGTCCTTGTTTATGCTACTTTGTGAGGCCCATTTTTCCAACTTATACTGCATTGTGAGGACCAACTGCTCCTTATGGGGCCCAAAGCCCGGGCCCCATAAGAAGAAGTCCCGTTGGTGGGTTAGGGGCTAGGTTTAGGACTAAGGTGTGAATTGAGGATGTGTTAGGTTTAGGGTTAGGTATGTACTGGTAATGGTTAGGTTATGGATAAAGGTCATGGTTAGGCTATAGAAATGAATGAAAAATGAATGGAAGTCAATGCAAAGGCCCCATAAAGATAGCAAAACAAACCTGTGTGTGTGTGTGTGTGTGTGTACTGTATAATTAACATTTTTTAAGTGGAGTTCTGTAGGAATTAAATTGATGTGATGCTGATTGTCCTCCACTGATGAGTGATTTGATAAGTGAATATTTGTAATTTTTCAAATAGAAGTTTTAATTTTTATTTTTGCTTGTCTGAGGCAGCAATGCGTGACGGATCCTGGGAAGTGGAGAGAGGAATTTTATCCACGACCAGGAACAATGGTAGAGCCAGGGGGTGGCTGATGGTGGCTTTTAGCCACCATATTTTAATCTTCTGCCACCCCAATCGTTTGAGGACTAAACTTTTAAGCAATATAAAAACTTTAAAAAGTAGAGTTAATGCTCCCCAAGCATGGTGGCGGCCATTTTGGATTGTAACTAAACACAATATTTGATAGTGACCTTTTTTGAGTTTGTCTGTCTGCACCCTGGGTTCAACACTACACAGATCATGATATACACAAGGTGCCCTCATTTAGCTAGCCATTAGCCTAGCATGGACATAGACTTTTGCCCTTTTCTCCATACTCTGTGCTCTATGACTGATGAGAGAGCTGATAAAGCAATAACTATTGATAACTTTTTGAAAGAAATCATCAAAAATGACCAGAATATTCCTTTAGGAAGACAGAAATGCATTCTGGTCTAGACCCAATTTGGACTACAAGTTAGCTCGCCAACATGATCAGAATTATATGCCATCTCTCCAAACTAAAGCCGTTCTAAAACCTATCTACAACAGGTAAAACATCCGTTGATCAACATTTTTCCACAGAACCCCACTTCAAAAAATTCTGAACCACCTCTTTAAAATGAATGCGCCACAACAAACCTAAATCCAGTGTAAAAGTTACTTACCAGCAGTTTGCAGATCTCTGCCAGCTCACAGAGGAGGCTGGCAGGGAAAGTCATTATGAACAAACCAGAGGAGGTGGAACCAAGACGATCCTGTAGAAGAACAGGTCGAACATTTGGTCGTTTAGAACTGTTGAACTCGTCAGCACTTCATTTTTTAAAAATTAGATTAAAAAATGGCATTCAAAATATTTAAAATCTAGACTTTTTATTTTACCTGGGGGTTTTTGCAAGTGGACAATGTGCAAAGCTTCATAACTGATCTCAGTGTGGACACAACCCCCTCCTCAGTCATTTTCACTTTAACACTGGACACAAACCCACTCAGTTCTTGGGCCAAATCCTGGCAACAAAGAGCGTCATATATAACTTTTAAGGTAAAACATAAACAAGCCAGGAGCAAAAGATAAGCAGGAGTTTGGGTAAGCATCAACCTTTGTTTTGGTGAAGAGCTGGGAGCAGCAGGCCTCCTCCTCACTCAGAAACCCGATGGAGATGTAACCTGCTAGAACACCCATCAGCAGACCGCTGCAGCGCACCAGACACTCAGGAGGACTGGACTGTGACTGCAGGAGGTCATTTGGACGTAAGTGTCAGGTTGTGCCACTGTGAAGTTTATCACGCAGACACATGGACCTCTACTCACGTCAGGAGAGTAGCAGTTAAGCAGATTGTCAGCCATGGAGAGCAGGTGCTTCTCCAGCTTGTTTCTGAGGGCCGGAACAGCAGCAAACTGGTTGTCAGCGGACAACGTCTTCACGCACTCGTCATCAGCTCCTCTGATCTCTGAAGGCAGCGCGCTGAAGATAAACAGCTGGTACACACTTTCAATAGCATCCAGGTTGTCTTTGGCATCTGAGGAGACTTTGTCTTGAAAAAAGGCACTTTGAAGAAAGCAGTCATTGCAAACGAGAGTTAGTTAGAGTGGCTTAATAATCAAGACGGATCAAGATTAAATTAAATCAAATCAAGATTTAGTTTATCTCTGTTTTTTATACCATCTTGCTCCCTCAGAATCCAGCAGAAACTTCAGGCCAACTCTTGTGTCCTTCAGGGTCAGTGAGACCAAGATGTTTGCAATTAGACTGTGAGGAAAATCTCTGCAAATAACAACAAAAATCACAAAGAGAAAATAAACACATGAGTGTAGTATGAACAGGGCGCAGATATATTCATACGTTTAACGGGTTCTTCATTTTTCTGACTGTGTAACATGTCGTGCATTGAATTTAACAGAAATGTAACGAGAGACGTTATTTATCTTTGACCCATCAAAATGAATGCGGTCATTTATTTACAGAATCAAAGTTTAACATCAAACATTTACATTAATTTGGCAAAATATGAAAATAACAACAGCATAGTTTTACAGGAAGTGAGAACAATACGGCGATTGTTTTCACTTTTCAGTTAAAACGGCAGACATGACTTAATCAGTTTTACAATCAGGAAAATCATACGGCCATGATTTTCCGTTGCATCACCACAGACATTAATGAAAACATCTGGATTAATTTTTAGGAGAAAGGAGAGTTTAAGATGGAAAATGGAGATTTATCTTACAGAGAGATGTGTGAGGGAATTTATCTGTGGTACCAGAACAACACGCTCTTTGGAGAATAAGCTTGGCCCACGGTACGCTTGGTCGAAATAGAACCTTTACCTGGTTGATGATAATCAGCGTCGGTGTAGAGTTCCCTTCTGACTCTTTCAGCGTCTCCGTGAGGACAGCCAAACCCTTAGGAGTCGTGTGAGGTTATCCAAACAGAAGTTATAATCCCCAAAATCGTCTCTGGATCATCTTGAATGCGTTTGCATCCAAGAACTCTGAACTCTTTACGTCTCCAACTCTTTCAAAGCTCTACTCATCTCGTCTCATCTCGTCTCGACACGACAACGGAACTTTTAGACGACACTTCTCCGACACTTCTCTTTGAGAACTGGGAAGTTGCCACATTTAAATGGGTTCGACTTCCGGTTCATTTGAGAGCTTTCTGATTCGTGGATGGACCAGAACAGAGGTGTGGTTTGTGATGTAAGGTGTTATGGAAAGTCAAGGACAGAGATTAAGTTTGTTTAAAACAGACAGAAAGATTGTTGGAGAACTTCAGACTTCGTGGAGTCTCTCCTCCTAGTATCTGCTGTAAAAGTTAAACATGACATTTCTTTTCAGTAAACATTTTAGTTGACCGAAGCCCGAACTCTAACACACTTACAAACTTGCTCATTGAAGACAGAAAATCAAGAAATGCATATTAACCTGATTTCTTCTTTGAATGAGGAATAAAAATCATTACTTACTGTTTATGTAAAATAAAAATGAGTAGTTCTCTTCAACCTGTAAACATTGTTTGAACTAACACAATTTGATTATCAAAACATTTGTAAAATAGTAATGATCATAGAGAATTGTCATTTCTACTTGATTAATTCAAGAAAGAAAGTCTCAGGATGGGTCAAACTGTATTTCTGGATTCAAATCAATGAAATGACAGTTTCTGTCCATCTGGTCAGTTTTGACATAGGCCTAGTCCACTACATGAGTAAAGGAAAAAAATACAGAAAAACACTGCAAGAATTAAAGGACTAGCACGATGCAAAGATGAAATTGTGCCGCAACGAAGAGATTTTTAAATTATTTATGACCATATCGTTGTTTTATTCTCAATTATCCTGAAGAAAATTCAGAAGTTGCCAGCTGCTTCAAATCACACGACACATTTGTAAGAAAACAGCGCACTGTTATTACATTTTAATAGTATACAATTTTGCATTCTTCCAAGGAATGCAGTATGCCAGTTCACATCTGTAAATACTGCATCTGGGGAAAGCTGTATACAGTCAGAGTTAAACACTGTAGAGAAGAAACAGCACGCTAACCTGCAGATGATGGGGTGAGGTCTGCAGCTGTCCTCCAGCTCATCGTTCTGGTCACTCATCAGCAACCAGGCTATAAGGGTCTCCTTCAGATTAGGTGAGACACACCCCTCAGTGCTTCCCATATGGTCCCAACCTGAGCTTGACGTGAGCTGATTTGGGATTGGACACTTCAGCATAGCCTGGGCTAGACACAGAGCAGCACTCCTACAAGAAAAAGAAAATACGATTTTTATCATAAGGGGTCAACCTTTGGAATTTTAATCAAGACTAACTGGGACTCACTGGGAGGGTTTGCATGCAGATGCGCAGAAGAGCTTCCAGAACTCTCTGTCCACATCGATCAGCCCACCACAAACAATGGAGGCCAGCAGATCCAGGCTGAGGGACTCGGCCTGCGGCGAACTGACCCTCCGCAATGCAAGGGCCCATATCCGAACCCAGAGTCGGCTGAGCTCGGACCTATGAGGCTGTGTTCTCTGCGAGCAGTGAGCCTGCCAGTGGGCCACCTCCCTTAGGCAGCGCAGCACATACAGCCCCCTCTCCCCCCTGCGCTGCTCCGCCAGCAGCTGATGCAATACTGACAGCAGCGGGACTAGCTCCCGACTGGGAATCATGGACGAGTACTTGGAGGCAAGCACTGTGGTGATCTGCAGCCTGGAAGAACATTTAAGGAGACAATCAATACAAGCTGTTACAAAAAGGTTGTGACATTGTATAAAATATAAATAAATAAATAATGCAATGATGTACATATCTTATAAACCCATATTTAATTTACAGTGGAACTTAGTAAATATATCACGTTTAAACTAGTGGTTCCCAACCATGGTCCTTGAGGAACACCATCCTGCATGTTTTAGCTGTTTCCTTGCGTTGACACACCTGATTCGAATGATGTGGTGATTAACAGCTTCGGCAGAACTTGAGGAAGTTATTAAATCACTGACTCTGGTGTGTTGAAGCAGGGAAACAAATAAAACATGCAGGATGGTGTTCCTCAGGGACCAAGGTTGGAAACCACTGGTAAAGTACAAGTACTTGGGTTTGCACATGAACAACAACCTCAGTTTGGGGCAACAACACTACCAGTCTGATCAAGAAAGCTTATCAGATGTGCAGTGGAGAGAATCCTGTGCTCCAGCATCAACGTGAGGCAGGGAAGCTGCACAGCTGCAGAAAGAAAAGCTTTGCAGAGAGTGGTGAAGGCTGCACAGAAGACTGTTGGAGTCAGTCTCCCCACCATCACAGACATCTACACCTCCAGATGCAGGAAGAGGGCCACCTGCATCATGAAGGACCCCACTCACCCAGCACACACACTTTTTGCCCCGCTCCCCTCAGAAAGGAGGATGAGGAGCATTAGGTGTAGAACCACTAGACTGAGGAACAGCTTCTACCCTGAAGCTGTTAGACTTTTGTTGGATGTAACTGGGACCCTGTGTACACAATTTGGTTCCACCTCATGTACCACATGTGATGCAAATGACAATAAAGAACCTCGACCCTGAAACTAAGGGATTGCAACAATATTTTGCGATGGACTTGCTGTCTGTCCCAGGTGTGCTCTGCCTCTCGCTCACTGTGGGACCAGCGACCCCTTGCAGTAATGAAAGGAAGAAGCAGTTAAAGATAGTTGGATGATCGTTGGATGAATTGTAATGTTTTTTTGAAAATGATAAAGAGTAATTTTAAATTTGATGGCAGCCACGCAACTAAGAGCTGTAAAATAAAAGAATGTGTGCTCCAATCCAGCCAACATCTTCTTCAGGAAAGGCCTTGCATATTTCAGCAAGACGCTAATCAAGATTAGCATCAAATGCTAAATCAAGACTTTGAAGCCATTCTGCATCCATTACAACAGCATGGCTTTGTTGTAGAAGAGTCTGGGTGCTGAACTGAACTGCTCCAAGTTCAGACCTCTCACCGACTAAAAATCATGGAAAGAAGGCCCACGCTTGTTTAACAGCTACAATTCTACATCAGACAAGAACGGGACAGGCCCCTCCAACAACTGCAGCAGCTGGTCTCATCAGTTCCTAAACATTTAGAGTGTTGTTAAAAAAGGGGGGCACTTCAAAGAGGTACACATGTCTCTGTCCTGATGTTTCTGAGATATGATGCTGCCATTATATTCAATTTTCATAAACGTTTGTGATCTGTTTACTAAATTCCACTGTTAATAAAATATGGGTTTATGAAATTTGCAGATCATTGCATTCTGTCTTTATTTACAGTTTGCACAACATTCCAGTGTTTTCAGAATGGGGGTTGTATATCGTTGGTTACGTACTGTAACCCCAGATTCTATGAGTATAGGCGCAGCCCTTTAAGGCTATCGCTAGTGGGTTAAAGGCGAAGCAGGATGTAGTCTATGCCTCACTGGGTCCATTCAGACATAATATGAAGCGCCTGCTTGCACAAAAAAACATTTCATCAACTCAGCCTTCTGTGTGCGTAATTACGCGTTCCATGCACAGGAGCGCCCCGGAGAGAAAAGGTCTCCGACGGGGAAAAAGGGGAGGCTGAAAACGCAGTCCTGCTGCTGAGAATGTAAAAGAACAGAGGTTACGAATTGTAACCGTGTAACAGTGAGCAGAGCAGGTCAACAGCTCTTCAATATGAACTGATTAATAACAAATTAACTGATTAGTAATCAAATGAACTGATTGATAACAATAAAAACAGCAGTCATGAACTTGTGACTGATAATAAATGTCTCACACTGTAATTGAATGCAGTCAGATGTGAGTTTAAAACAAAATTCCATGAAACAAGTAAAATTCATTCTGTTAGAACATTGAGAACAGAATGGGTCATGGAGAAAACAGAAACATCACACAGAAAAAAGCAAATCAATGAACAAGGCGATGACCAAGCGGCCGCCGTACAAATGTCCTCCACTTTCATTCCTCCGTGCAAAGCTGTAGAGGATGAAATCCCTCTGGTGGAATGAGCTCTGAGATTCCCTGGAGGGTCCAGTCCTGATGCTCTGTAAGCTTCAGAAATAGCCTCACACAGCCAGTGTGAGAGGTGCTGAGTGGATAATGGGCGACCTGCAGAGATGTTAAGCTCCGCTCAGTAAACCCCTCCACTCTGCCACTCTGGTGATGGGAGCGAAGGTGGAGATGGGCGTCTTCAGCTTACCAGGTCCGGCTGCAGCCTTGTTCCAGTAGGACATCACTGCTGGGAAACGAGGCCAGATGGCGTCAGGGTGGAAAGCTGGGGTGGAGCCAAACCTTCCCACTAGATCATCCGATCTGGGCGGGGGAAGGAGAGGGACGGAAAGTCCCTTTGTGTCAGACGACTCCTGGATTATGCCGGGCAGCTCCGAGAGGAGGGCACCGACAGCTGGGAGCGGTGTGTTCGCCAATGCGGAAAGGCCCGGGGGCGTGAGCATCCACTTGGCCCCCCCGTTCCAACACTACGTTCTCCAGGAGGGAATGAGCAGCGGGGCTGCTGCTGACATCGCCTTTTCTGGAGGAATCATCCGATTCGCTCCGTGACACAGGCTGGTGCTGATGCTGGACATCTTCTTCTCGAAAAAACAGTGCTGGTTGCTTGCTGAAGAAAAAATGGGAGCCGATTACCCTGTCTCGCCATAATTTATACGGACCGGGGGTGAGGCCCACACAGCAGGTGGGCGTGGACTAAAGTTTTCAGTGCTGCACTGCGCGCGAAGGGATAAACCCACTAGCAATAGCCTTAAAGGGCGAAGCCTATACGAAATAGAACAAATAGTTATGTCCAGTTTTATCTGCATGAATCTGACACAGATTTTTCATACCATGGTATGACATCAAAGTCACTTTGCTGAGGCTGCAGATGGTCTCGAACGACGTCCCATCCTATTTCGACGCGCCGTCGCTTGCTGGCTGCTCCATGATTGGGACTGCCCATCTGTGTGGCCCTGAGGGACGCCGGGGTGACCTCCAACATATGACTCTCACTGTCGTCACTGAACAGCTACAGAGAGAACACACAAAAATATAGGACGCTTGTCCTGAGTGAAGTTAAATGGGCTTCATGACTGCAACCTGGAGCTAAAGTGGGATGTTTCTGTGCACAGATGAGGCTGACATGAGAATAGGAGTGGAGTAAGAGCGTCCTAACCTGGTGACAAATGTCAGCCGTGAGCTCAATGAGATTGTCTTTGACGGCTATGTTTCTGGTTCCTGTGACATACTTCCCCCTGCTGCCTATGTGACTGATCTCTCGGACCAGAGCATCGTACAGGTTAAACAGCAAACTCTGCCACCTGCTCCAGTCCTCTGCATGAGCACCTAAAATATGAAAGAGGACGCACAAATCTATCAACTGTTTCATGGTGTGCCGGTAAGTTACAAGTTTCTAGTCCAACGATAAATAAACAACGCCAGCACTCAACCTGTGTCTTGTGCTTTTGCTCCTTTAGGGTGATGAACACAGAGTTGCAGCCTGAAGAACTCCACAATCTCCTCTTTGAGCTGTGGGCTCGGCCTCATCTCCGTCCACACGTACAGCAACGAAGGCAGAAGCTCCTCCCCCAGACGACAGAGTCTCATCCGATAGTTAATGGCGGCGGATCTCGAGAAGATGTTCAGTGCTGAGACGAGGGGCTCCAAAACAGTCAAGTGTTTCTCTTGCCTGGGTTTGGTCCACCAAAATAAAGTGCAAAGCTTTACTTCGATCAGTTCTACATCACAGATGATTACAGAACACTAACGCCAAATGCATGATTTTTCAGGAGGAAGGACTTTTCACCTGGCACTGAGCAGAGCTTTGGAGAAGAAGCTGAACAAAGAGTCATTGAGTGCATCCGTCTGCATGCAGCAGCCCTTCACCACAGCGTGGAGGACTCTGCTCAGCAAAACACTGTTGATGGATTTGGATGAAGAGTTGAACAAGCAGCAGTACAAATCCAAAAGACCTTTGGATCAAAGAAGAGAAACAAATTCACCCACTTTTATTGTTTAACACAGAAAATAATGCACCTGAAGTGATGTCAAACGTGTCGCCTGCACCACTTCTACAACTGAAAGATAATAAAGATTTTAGGTTGGTGTATCTTATACTGATTAAGGCATGATAAATGTATAGCCTGTTGCATGCATGTTAGCAATAAATACAGCTTGGAAATAAGAAAAGTTTAAACCAGCAATAAAAATGTCTAAGCTCACATTTTCTCTTTGAAATGCTGAAAAAAAAAAGAGATTTAGTTTTTTTTGTGATTTTACTTGGTTTAGTAAATCTTTCACATGATTGACGTGGATGCAAATAAGAATTTAGAGATATTATTTGAAGCAACACGGTGAGGACTGTGCACGGTGTGCTCATACTGTATACTGAAGGAGAAACACAGCAAGAAACTCACAAAGACTCACTGATGATCTTACTGGAGTATGCATTTAGAGTAGGTCTAAGTCTGAGCTTTGGGATTAGAGCTGTCATTTCTAACCTGAACCCGGACCTAATCCGGGTCGGGCCGGGCCATAATAATGTGCTTAATGTGCAGGCCGGGTCGGTGTCGGGCTTTTGATTGCATCAGCGGACGCACAAAGCTGACGATCCCATTATACGGCAACATGGCTTGCCATAATATCACCAGCCACACTCGGCCATTTGACTGTGCAGCGGTAAAAACAAGTTCTGTTAAGCCCCCAGTATACTCCCGCGTATGTCCGTTCACGCGTACGTACCCGTGTACTGTATGCAGAGGGTTCAGACTTTATACTCGAGCGTACACCCTGAGCAGCTGCAGAGCAGCTTCACAGACAAGGGGCGTTTACCTTCGGGACAAATTGAGGTCGCCGATTGGGCATTTGCTGACACGCCTACTGGATTGATTGACAGGTCGGGGGCGGGTAAACGAGCGCTGGCAGCCTCAGCTGCAGCAGTGTTCTGTGTATATATGTTGTTAATAAAAAGATCTAAAAAATAAATAAATAAAAAAACAGGGAGCGCTGGCTCTACAGCCCACACATCAGACCAGCCCACCAGGAAATCTCCAGACCATCTCGCAGCCACGCTGGACCTGAGTTTAATTCGCTCGTGACAAATTCCTCCATTTCTCACCATTTCAGTCATGGCATCAACGGAGGAGGAAGAGATCACTGCCTCTTGACAAAAAAACTAAAGAAAAGGCCAGATCAGAGATGAAGAAGGAGAATTTAATACATTGGTGTCGCATACAAAACAGTCCGTCGCTGGGCAGTTTATTGTGCGACACCGCGTACACGTCGTAAAAATTGAGCTTTGCACGGACATGCCCTTGGGGTAGATTCGTACCTCCGTGTATGTACGTGCGTACCTCCGCGTATGGACGTACGCGGGAGTATACTGGGGGCTTTAAGCTTCAAATGGACTACTGCCAGCGATCCATCGCCCGAATGGAAGTTCATTCAGCCGCTGCACTCAGCGGACACGCTGACGACCCAAATTGGTGAGATCCCAAAATATCCTGCAGACATGTCAGAGCAGGGTCTGTGTTGGAATAATGCAGAATGCAGGCAGAAGCAGGGATTTAATGCATTTTGACGGCCAGGAAAGGACAAACACCCCCTCAGCTACGATCTTCTGCCTCCTCAGCTGCGTGCGTCCGTTGACCGTTAATAACTATATAAGCAGTTAAAGCTTAATTAAAAATGCTGGTTTTCAGGTTTGGACCTGTAATTACTGTTAATTCGTCAAGTCCGGTGTGGTTCGGAAACGATGGCTACAGGCTGGGGCCGGGTCGGATTTTTTGGGCCCGAATGCAACTCTAATTGGGATGAGTGATCTCTGTTTCAAAACTAAATAATCATTCTTCTCCACTGAGATATTTCTAATTTTGATAAGTCAACGTTAAAATGGTCTTTGAGCTTTCAGGAAATAGAATGAACTCTCTCAATGTTCCTCTAATACACATGTGTCAAACTAAAGGCCCGCGGGACAGATGTGGCCCGCCATGTCATTTTATGTGGCCCGTGAGACCTTAAAAAGTCTGATTGTCGTGTAATAAGTCAAAAAGGTTTTACATTATAACAGAGCAACAAGCAGACATATTTTTCTACATCTATGCAAATATATATGTAATATTTGTAAATTGAATAAGTTAAAAAATCAAGAGTTATTTACCAATAAGGAGTAGTTGCATTTATTTTACATTACTGTACATTTAGTTAAATTTAGCTACAGTTATACTGTCTTACAGTCACATATGATCCTTTGAGGGCAACCATTAAGCTGGTGTGGCCCTCAGTGGAAATTAGTTTGACACCCCTGCTCTATATGCTTCTGTCCTGTTCCTGTTCCTGGGATGTGATCGATTGAAAGCAACGTGTCTAAACTCAAAACCTAACCTGAGTGGAGAGATTTTGGTTTTCAGCACAAGTTAACCCTGCATGAACTGAGCCCTGAGTCTGTAGTCATCATCCTGCCCTTTACTGGCCCCCAGAATAAAGATTTTGTCCTATTTAGACCCACTGACTTTGCCACTGCTGCGGGGCGATGTCACACCAGTACTTGCGGACAGAGAGGACGTCCTTTAAAAGGAGGCTGCTGTAATACTCCCCGTATGCTGAGCAGCAGTACGGACTCTGCAGCACCTCCATCACGTGTTTCAGCAGTTCGCTGCATTTTAGACGAGGCCCACCTGCAGGAAGAAAGAGCAACGCTGTAACTCCAACAGCTGAAGTGTTGGGTGTTTGCTGTTTTCTACAGCTGTGGCTGAGTCAGAACGGGTACATGGATCTGCTAATGACTGTGCCCTTACGTTTGTTTGCATAGCCAATAAAGTGTTTAACCAAGCTGCACACTTCAGCCATCTTCTTCTGTCGTGTGGCCAGTGTGCTGGCGGTGATGTTGGATTTACTCGACTGCATGCTCTCAGTCTCCTTCTGGACATAACGCTGCAAGAACCTGATGTGGAAAGCAAAAATATTACCGGTAATAGGATTGTGCAAAACAAAGAAGGAAGCTGTCATTTTACATGGTGATGAAATAAATTAAAGTGAAGCTGTGCAGGTGACTTGCAACAACACAAAAAATAAAGGAAGGAATAGCCTTGAGTGTGCAAAAACAATTTACTGAACTAAAGCCTTATACCTGAAGACAGCGTCCCATGTGAGTTGCTTGGATCTTTTAGCTTTAATCTCTGAGGTATGATCCAATTCTTGCATGACCTCTTTGGATCGAATGAGCCGTCTGAAGCGTTCAGCTTCTTTCTGGTCACAGAATGAGGGAACATTACAAGTAGATAGTGACATATCTGACAACATGGCAAAATTACTAATACTGTATATGTTTGTTTACCTTCCTCTCTGTGGCCTTGTCATTCTCCAGCCCTCTGCAGCAGACCAGGAGATCATGAAGACGCAGACTCATGGTGCTTCACTCCTGCACAAACAGCAGGATATTACACTACACCTCTTTGTAAAAATGCATACAGAGGTGCTGGACTGAGCCCTGCCTCCGCTCAGTGGATCAGACACACTCTTGTCATGTAAATCCTGAATATGTTTCGTCTCAGCTCTCAGCATGTATCCTTAAAAACAAAATGATGTGCGTGCTTCAAACAGAAGAGGGATAATAACTAGGGATGCACAATATTATCAGCATGGTCTCTGTATCGGCCAATATTAGTGATAAAGTTAAATATCAGATGTCGACCATTCCATCAAAATAACTCACCAATATATGAAAAGCAATGAAACATACATATATATATATATATCTATATATATATATATATATATATATATATATATATATATTTATATATAAAAGGCGCTGGTTTTGTATGTCTGTTTGAGTGTTGTCATTGTGTTGGAGGGAGTAAATGTCATGATTAAATTTGACATTAAACATAATCCAAGTTAAGTGTTACATCATTTTCAGTCCCTTTTGGGCATCTGCATTTGGCAGCAGGACAAATTGACAAAGACCGTGCAGAATAATGTAGTATTTTAATTCCAGCTATGTAGTCTCTGTAAGTAGGTATAGGGGGAAAAAAATCTGTAGTGATATTGGTTATCTGCCAAATACTTTTTAACATATTGGCATATCGGCCAAAAATCCAATATCATGCATCCCTATTAAAAACTCATATAATTTGTGTTATAAAGATGTATTCTTTAGAATACAAATAAAATCTGTGAGGATTACTAACATCTTCAAATAAGACTTGCAACGTAATATCAAAATAATAAATATGAACTTCAAGGTACTCTGAAAAGGAAGAAATAAAAAGGTTACAGTATGATAAGAAGGTGGGATTTATCGAGCATGCCGACTCTTTACACAAAAGTCTAAAACGATCTCAGTGGTGTATGGAAGAACACGAGGGAGGATGCAGGTGTAAGCAACAGGAGGAGGCAGAACCCCCAGCTGGGTGTCCCACAGCACATCACTCCTCCTCACACTCTTTTTTTGTCTTCGCCTCCTAACCTGATAAACAGAAGTTGTCTGAACGATGCAAATGTGATGTGATGCAGCAGTTAATGACACAAGAAGTGTATGATATTATGTATCACCTTCAACAACTCTGACTCATAAAAAGCAACAAACTAGTTCATTTTACAGGCAGTTACACTGAACTTCATCTTAAATCATAACCATGAACACAAACACCTTCATTTCAGTCTGAGTGAACAACTTTTGGTGAAGAGTTATTTTGGGCAATACTTCTCTAGTGAAAAGCCCAGACATGACCATACCATGGAACCACACCTGGACCCCCTACAGTTTGCCTACCAGCCACACATTGGGGTTGATGGCACCATCTTCTACCGGCTGCACAGAGCCTACACGCACCTGGAGGGGGCAGGCAGCACTGTAAGAGTCATGTTCTTTGACGTTTCCGGTGCTTGTAACACCATAAGACCTGCTCTACTCTGCAGTAAGCTCCGGGACATGCAGGTGAATAACTCACTGGTCACCTGGATCAGAGACCACCTCACAGGTCGACCACAGTATGTGAAGCTGCAGAACACCGTTTCTGTTCACCCTCTACACCTCGGACTTCTGGTACAACTCACAATCCTGCCTTCTGCAGAAGTTCTTGACGACTCTGCCATTATGGGCTGCATCACTGGTGACCAGGAAGCTGAATACAGAGGTGTGGTGGACAGAACCACCTGCAACTCAATGTTAGAAAAACTAAAGAGTTGCAGGTGGACTAGAGGAAGAAGATCAGCCCCCCAACCCTATCAACATCAAGGGTACTAAGGTGGACACTGTGGACTGCTACAAGTACCTGAGGGTCCACCTAGACAACAAACTGGACTGGACAGCCAACACCAACACCCTCTACAAGAAAGGACACATTCACCTTTTTCTTCTGAGGAGACTCATGTCCTTTAAAGTCTGCAGGACCGTGCTGCAGATGTTTTACCCCTCGGTGGTCTCCAGTGTCTTCTTCGTGGTGTGCTGGGGCAGCAGGGTGAAGAAAGCTGATGCCAACAGACTCGATAAACTCATCAGGAGAGCTGGATCAGTTCTGGGAGTGGAGCTGCAGTCTCTGACAGAGGATGCTGAGGAAACTGCTCCAGATCCTGAACATGTCACACCCCCTGCATGACACCCTGGACTCTTACCGCAGCACCTTCAGTCGTAGACTGAGACCACCGAGGTGCTCCACAGAACAACACAGGAAGTCCTTCAAACTTTTCAACTCCTCCCCCTTTCTGCTCAGAGGATAATAAAATGAATCCTGCACCACAATAAACTCCTTAATCTGTTTCTGTCTGCACCTGTTTTACACCTTAATTGTTAGTATTTTTATATTATCTGTTATTTTTTATATCTTGTGTGATTCCTCGTGTATGTTCATTCGTACTGAAACTCTGGCACAACATCTGCAGGATCAATAAAGTTCTATCTTATCTTATCTTATCTTATGACTGGGGAAAGATTTAAAGAAAAGGGAGTGAAAAGAAGAAATGTTGATTAAGAACACTCTAATTTGAATAAGTTTGTCTGAATGAAAGAAAAGAACAAAAAAATACAGTCCTGATTAATATATTACTAAGGATTATGTTAAATTATTTACTTAATAACTTTGGATCTATGATCAACTTTCTTCTCCAGGTTAACGATGACAAATAAAAGTGAAAAAGTACTGACTAGTACTAGCGTGTACTAGTTTCATTACATGAAATCACAGTGCAGTCAGGCCACCATAGGGCGATCAACTGTAGCAGCACGACTGCACAAACTAGCTTTCAGCTCCATCCATCCATTCAAACACTACTGACCTCAGACTGTCGTCCTGAAGCAGGTGCAGATGTTAGCTAAAGTGTTACTATCCTGATCATAACAACTTTACCATCTCGCGCACTAACAGCCACGATCACGCACACACGTCACGCAAGGCATTCCCGCCTCAGCGTGTAAGGTGGAAAAAGAAATATTACTTCCCAACCACAGCAAGAGGATAGTGAGTCCTTTCACTCTCTTATCAACGTCAAAACAATTTTTACATTTATTTTAGGGTAATTTGAGGCCTTATATGCTTAATGCATAATATTAGCGTGCATAATATTTATTTTTTTAAATGTTTTGTAGCATTCTGTTGAGAATTTGAAGATAAAACGTTTCAGGCTGGACTACATTTACCACAAGTCAAACTAACAGAGGCAAGCTCAGTACTTCCGGGTTGTAGGTGCTTGAGTTCCCCGCCTTTACAAAAATCCGTTTCAGGACCTCGTCTTCACAGAAATAGCCTGTTCTTGTGCAAGTAATTTTTTTTTCCTTGGATTTTCCCAGACATGTAGAACATTTAACTCTTTAGTATATTTTATTAACAGCGAAACGTCGTCATGTTGCTGCCTTCCGACGTAGCTCGGCTTGTTCTGGGTAAGTTGGAGGTAGCGAAGCAGTTGTGGCGTTCCCCAGCAGCGCCAATGAAGCCAAGCCAAGGCGGAGTAATACAAGCTTGCACTATTAGCCCGTTTACTGTGAATATATTGTCCAGAGGATTGAATGACCACACGTTAATGTCTTTTCTCAGGGTACCTCCAGGAAGAGGGACTGCCAGCCACCAGCCGAGCTTTCATCCACGAGAGCCCAAACCTAAAAGAGTATGCGGAGCACAGCTCAGGAGATGGGACGATTCCTGCCTGTGTTTTTGTGAGTGCGACTTTTGTTAAGATAATTTATTTTACTGTCAAACTGCTGACTGGTTGCCATGTAAATGTATACTAATCAACTTATTGTCTTCACATCTGTACAGTCTATGTTTGGGAAAAACCTCACAACAATTTTAAACGAGTATGTGGCTGTCAAAGCTAAAGGTAAAGTGACTCATTGTGTCCATTCTTTAATTTATAGATTAATGTACCTATGTTACTATTGATTGTTTGTTTTTTTAACAGAGTCTGGTCATGAAGTCCCTCTTGTGATGACCTCATTGTGGAAAAAACTCGATTTCACTCTCAACCAAATCAAGTAATGAGCGTTGACTTCAATCATACGAATCAATTGATATTTTGTGTTTAATTTGACTTTAAGCTTTATTCGATGTGGTGTCTGCTGTTTTATTTCTCAGGTCGTTGCAGAACTCCCCTGCAAGTCAGAGGAGTAAGTTTTCTTTCAATTTAAACCTTTTGCGACATTGGATGCTTTTGTGATTACACTGCAATTTTTTTTTTGTGTGTATATTGTGTATTTGGTCCATTGTAGGATATAAGGTAAACAGCGTATATGTTGCTGATTGAAATTGATCTTATGTGGGGGGGGGGGGGGGAGATGACTATTCTTTGAGATTTTAAAGTTGTAAATTTGTGAGGACAAACTGTAAACTCATTGACAAGTACTTAAATGTAATTTGGATTTGTTGGGCGTTTACTTCATGACTAACACACACGTGAGAAGTGAGTCTCTGAGATTAATGTTGATCATTTCTGCACATTTCACTGAGAAATAACAACTTATCAATTAGTTGTAGGATCTGTCCGGATGTTACATATGTGTGCAGTGTTGCTAAGTAAACCCAGGGTAAAACAGTGTGAGCATTTATGAGCATCTGTACCAATGCTTTTTGTTTATTCAGTTTGCGTATGAGTGTTGTGTTTAGCGTCCTCTGTCCGTTGCAGCACGTTCACGGATTGGGGTTGCAAACGTAGCACGGCAGCGGGTCCTGGCCGTAGCTTCTGCAGGTGGTGTCGTCTGCTCTTCCGTTTCTGAAACGAGCTCCATCATCAGCCCTGCGCACACCTCCCACAGCATGCTCGGCCACTCCACTCCCGTGAGCTACACTGGCCTGCAAACCAGAGTCGTCCCAGCCAGTAGTGCGCAGCAGCTAATCCAGGATGGCAGCCGATTACTAAATACACCCAGTCCGTACCACGGAACATAAGTTACCTTTTTGCTTATGATTTGACAGTTCTGAAACTTTAATCTTTCTTAATTTGCAATCATACGTTTAAACAATTAGGGAAATAATTTGATAAATATGCAAATAAATCTTGCATAAGTTACATTGCTACTTTCTGAATAATAGACAAGCTGTTTTGGGGGTTTTTTGGTCTAGGGGGTCCACCTGTACAGGTCATTGTTTCAGAGCGCCGGCTGAATTCAGGCCCAGTTTCTCCTGGTCGACGGAAATGGTAAGGATTGTTGTTGTCGTATTCCAGTTGTTGCTGAAACATCACTGACAGACTGCAGCAGACGTTGTTGTTGGATAAATTACAGTAATTATCCTATCATCAACTCATTACTCAAATAATCCACTCTGAGGATGCGAGAGGATTGTTTTGAACCCAACAAAAACGGTTAAATCATGTCGTGGACCAGTTTCTTTAAGTGAGAAACGTTTCGTCCCCCATCCAGAGGACTTCCTCAGTCTACAGCCTGCCAACCAGATCTGTCCCATAGGTAGCCTTCACTGCTGTGTTTCAAGCCAACTTTTTGGAAGTCCTCTGGATGGGACACAAAACGTTTCTCACTTAATGAAACTGGTCCACATGACATGATTTAACCTTTTTTGTTGTTATCTACCTGGATGATTGAGCTTACAAACCTTTTTTTTTTTTAACCAGTTTACTCCTTGTTGGCGGGGGGGCGCTAACGATCAGTTGTTAAGCTGATGGTCATCCTTTTGCATGTGAACAACTAGTTCTGGATGTCATTGAGATGGTGTAGGGGCAGGGCAACCGACTCAGGACCAGGGTCCCGGGTTCGATCCCCGGTCATTGCACATCTCGTGGCGTCTCTGAGCAGGACACCCCATTCCCAGTTGCTCCCCGGGTGTCTCCAAAGGTTGCCCACTGCTCCACCTGGTGATGGATGGGTTAAATGCAGAGATCCGATTTCACCATTGTATGGAACATACAATGATGACAACACATAACATTATAACAACAAACTGGTTGATCCACTATGAGAAGGTGCTGTTTATAAGACTGGGTTTGTTGCAGTGGGCAGCACGGTGGCGCAACTGGTAGAGCTGCTGCCTCTCAGCGAGCAGGTCCTTGGTTCAAACCCCGGTCCAGGGGCCTTTCTGGGTGGAGTTTGCATGTTCTCTCCGTGCATGCGTGGGTTTTCTCCGGGTACTCCGGTTTCCTCCCACAGACCAAAAACATGCATGTTAGACTGATTGGTAACTCTAAATTGTCCCTAGGTGTGAGTGAGAGAGTGAATGGTTGTTTGTCTCTATGTGTCCCTGTGATGGACTTGCGACCTGTCCAGGGTGTACCCCGCCCCTCGCACAGTGATTGCTGGACATGGGCACCAGCGACCCCCGTGACCCAAAATGGAACAAGCGGATAAAGAAAATGGATGGATGGATGGTTTGTTGCAGCTCCTCAGACTGAAGAAGTGTTCTGGATAAAAGAAGAAACATTTCAACAAGAAGAATCCATCCAGAGGACCTGACTTTGTTAGATTTATCTACCTGGATCATTGAGCATGAATCAGGATATTTACTTTGTCTTGTTCAACTTGTTTTTTCTTTTTGTTTTCACAATTCTCTGCTCCCTTCAGGGACACGCCCAGGAAGAGAAGTGGTCTAAGTGGGTCTAGTGGTCCCAGCAAATCCTCCACGCCTGTCAGTAGCCTCAACGCAGAAGCAGAACCTGAAGAAGTTGTCAATGAGAACTTTCCTGTGAGTCTGTTATTTTATTCATGGCAAAATGACTTTCACATCTAAAGTAGCATTTTTATTTGTCCAGATGTTGAAGTTTGATTTCGTTACAGTACCATACTGATTTGGATTTATTGTGAAGGGACAAATGGAAACTTACAAATGAATTTAATATTTATGTGTTAAAACTGAGTGCATTCAAGAAAATGGTTTTAATGTCTGCAAGACTGTAGAGTGATGGGGTGTCATGGGGTGAATGCCATCCAAGGTAGAACTGTTATTTCTAGCCCGGACCGACCTGGATTAGGGCAGTCCGGGCCGTTATAATGTGATTAATGTGTGAGCCGGGCCGATCTCGGGCTTTGTTGCGGTTTTACGAATCATACAGAACAAATAAAAGATTGCACAATATAAAATTGTGTTGATCTACTTATAAAGGAGGATTCAGTACGTTTATATGTTGAGAGGATGAAGAAAGAAAGAAGAGCGCAGCCGATAATCAGACTGTGAAGAGATCGCTGGCGCATTGCGCAGTAATTGTACATGTGGGCTCAGGCTTCTGCGGTTTTACAAATTAAACAGCACAAAGGAAACTAAATATGAATGCACGATATAAAATTGTGTTAATGTACTTGTTGAGGAGGAGGCAGGTCCAACCGGCCGGTTTAAAAAAAAAAATCACGTTAAGCTCAAATGGACACCTGGTTGAAATGGACTTGGGACCTGTCCAGGGTGTACCCCACCTTTCGCCCAGTGAGTGCTGGACATGGGGCACCAGCGACCCCCGCTACCCGCAAAGGAAGAAGCAGGTAAAAATAATGGATGGATGGATCAATCAGCCGATCACCGGCTGCGTGCGTCTCCACACCTGCTGTCATCTGCGGTGAAGGAAGTAGCAGCATCTACAAAAGCTGAAGTGAGCAGCGC